TCATTTCACTTAGTAATATGTTATAGTCAGGAGTAATCAGCTATTTCTGTTGTTAAATGGATGGAGTTTGAAAGGATTTTACCCTACCATTGCAGTTCATACTTATCATCATGTTGACTAGAGCCAGTAAAGTAAGCTTGAACAGGAGATTACTCCAGAATTGCTCTTGAAAAAAAGCTAATGTTTTTTAACAGGAGGCACCTACGAGGTAGTGAATCCATATACAAACTGACAGGTATGCCACTAGACAATAAAAATCTGTGACTTCTGATGAGGATCAACTCTTAATGAGAAAAACTGTTTTAGAGAAACCAGCAGGGATTGTGGGTGTTTGGGAAGAATAATATGAGGATTTTAGTTGCAAAAAAAATTGCAAATCCAATTCCCACTGGACAAAGTTCCTATTTATTTCTTTATATTCTATGGAAACTGCTATCCCCTATTGACGTGGCAACCACAGCAAACATAGCAAATAAAGCTCTAAATTATAATAATGAGAGTTACCTGAAGGCAAGGGCAGCACAACCAAACTTATCTTAGTAGTAACATTTCGTGCATATAGGAGACATTCCATAGATATTTGTTAAGCTGAACTAGATAAAATCTGTATTGTCTTCGCGTAACATTATAAAGATTGAAAAATTTTTGAAAACGTTGCTCATAAGAACCAAAAGTTAGTTGACTTCAGTGCCTTGTGTTCTGGTAGAAGAATATTATCAATTTAACCGAGTGTACTCCTCTACCTTTTGGAGTCTTCATATTTAAAAATATTAAAATATCTTGTGATTCAGTGTAAAGTAATATTAGTCTCTTCTACTTCATGGAATTGGAGATTGGAAATGTTAATTAAGATGCTCCTACGGAAAGAAGTGATACTTTGCTTCTAGTCTCTTTGATCTATAAAGACATGGACCAATTGTGAGTTTATAATAACAGATATTGATCTTAAGATACTAATTTTTAAAAATTAATAATAAACTTGCTTAGTTAAAGCAACTGAAAAGGACCATCATCATGATCCATTTCAGAATTACTTTCCAAAGAACTTGATTACAAGTTAAGGAAAAGCCAGAACCCATATCCTCTGTGAGTGTAAATGTTCTCAATTATGTAATAGAACCCAAATCTTAAAGATTTCTCAACATCTCCTTTCCCCAAGCCTCTTTGAAGGAGATCTACACAATCTTTTTAGATTTATTGTGCTACCTTTCTTATGCTGATAGGGATACTGTGTGCTGTGACAGAAGCTGAGAGAGGAATAAAAAGATAGGATGGGGGAATTAAAAACAGGGCTGAGAAAGTTTTCGAAACTTTAATAAAAGAGGTGAAAAGAAAGAACTAATTCAGTGAAAATTATGAGATGATGTTTAACCGACTGCCTTGTAGAGCAGAAATTTGGCAGGAGAAGACACCAAGGTATGTAAAATAATTCATTCTTCACCATCTCTTCTGAAGACCTTCTTTAGGGCATTTGTTTTTCAGGGATCAAATTTGGATTTGTTTTCCATCCATGGGCTGAGATAAGTTTTAAAGCTGTTGCTGGAAGGCATTTTTATTCCGGTTATACTTTGATGGATTTTAAACAGCGATGCAGAGTGAAATAAGATGTCTTATTTTGATTATGGAATGAATGGGGAACATTTATCACCAGTTATAACTCAGTGCAAAAGTGCCGTAATTCTTGATTTGTGTTAAACCACAAGAATTTTGCAATTTGATTGCTTTTTTGAATGATTTAAATACCTTATCTCTCTCCTTGATTATACATTGTTTTTATATTTTTTCCAAATATGACTTATATTATGAGATAAGTAGTTCACTATAGATTGAAAATTGACCATTTAGAAAATAAAATGAAAATAATTTTTTGACTGGTTTTAAAATCCAAAACACTCTCTCATTAGCATAGACAAAGACATTTAAAATAAAGTAGGTATATGAGCCTATATGCATATTTTAGGTATCAAAGATTATTCCTGAAGACCTGTGATTCATGGAAATTACTTATTTTCTTTTTATAATTAAGTTTTATGCTTTGCACATTAAAGAGGTTTGGTTTCATGTAAAATTTTCAAATGGAGTTGGCATTTTAACTGTTAATATTCCTGGATATATTAATACTCCTGGGATCATGGGGTCTATGACTAGTAGGCAGTAAATAAATAGGTATCCTTATATTTTAATGTTTCTGTTTAATCTTGCATACATATTTCAATCTTGCTGTAACCATGGTGAAGTTCAAAGTTACATTTAAGATTATCATGCTTACAGTTCTGAAAAATAAAAATGTAATTTAAAAGGAATTTTGAAGGAGACATGACGTGAGAGAAAAAGCAAAAAGGTCATTTTATGATACTATAAAAAGACACTAGAAAAAGAAAAAAAGAAATACAAATTAACCAGATGTAAAACAGGATCATCAGGTATTTTAAAGAAAAAAAATTCTTAGCAGAGAACTTTAACCTTGCAGTCACTGAATGCTCATCCCATAGAAGTGTAAATAATTTAATAGAATTTAATTAATTAATTAATTAATTAATTTTTTTTTTGAGATGGAGTTTCGCTCTTGTTACCCAGGCTGGAATGCAATGGCGCGATCTCGGCTCACCGCAACCTCCACCTCCTGGGCTCAGACAATTCTCCTGCCTCAGCCTCCTGAGTAGCTGGGATTACAGGCACGCGCCACCACGCCCAGCTAATTTTTTTTGTATTTTTAGTAGAGACGGGGTTTCACCATGTTGACCAGGATGGTCTCGATCTCTTGACCTCGTGATCCACCCGTCTCGGCCTCCCAAAAAAATTCTTAGCAGAGAACTTTAACCTTGCAATCACTGAATGCTCATCCCGTAGAAGTGTAAATAATTTAATAGAATTTGTTATAAGGTACACAGATGGTGCTGACAGAGTCCTGTGGAAGACCATATTATTCTATTCCTTATTTTTCTAAATACGTTTTTTTGTATTATAAAAATAAATATATGATTAATAAATTTAATCTGTTTTACATCTGTTCTTATTTAATATATATTTGAAGATAGGTAAATATGGAAATTTTATATTTCTTCTAAATGTATCCGGATTTGTGTAAATAGATCAAGCAAACTGCAGATAAGTCTATGAGTGATGCACAACCATGCAGGTTGATGGCTGGAAATGTGGCTAGCTATATCTGGCACACTGACGTAAAAAGTGATGAATTTCCCATCCCTCCTACCTTCTTTGTGTATTACAAGAACTAGCTTAAAGACTCTTCCTCCTAGCTGTACACATTTGTTTTGAAATGAGAAGGATTAAGCTGTGGTAGGCAGAAACCAGGAGATAAGTCAGCAAAAGAAAATATGCAGAAGGGTCTAGTATGATGGGACAATCAACAAAATCTAAATATAAGAAAAAGTTAGACTCCTTTATAAAATAAAAATACTACTATAACCAAAAAAAAGGAATTTAGATAGGAATTTAAGAATGTGGGTAGGGCACCGTTATATCTGAGATCCAATAAAAGCTAATTTATTTAAATCAGCATTAGACAACCTACTCTGTTTTTTCTTTCAACACATTTTATCTACTCTTCCACCTAAAACAGTAGACATTTTTTTAGTTTTATAGGGAGGCGCTGATTTTACAATTTAATTTGCTCATAAGATATAGCACTATTTTGATAAGCCGACTTAGCTTAAATCACTTAAAAACATATTCACCGTTTTTTATAGCCTCTCAACACCACACCTTAGCTGTGTTCTCATTTTTCTGTAATTGTATGATGGACCCAGGTTGACACCTATGTTCATGTGTAAGATCTGTTTATATACTCTTTGGAGTATTCATACTTATTTCTTAGAAGGTTCGGAAAACAGCTCAGCATGTTCATATAACTTATTTTCGCAAAGAAAACATAAGAATGCTTAAACTTGCAAAATGCACCAATACCAAATGGTCAGCTAGGTCTGTTTATTTTCTTGGGCCACCATCTATCTATCATAAAGTTCTGTTTATATTAAATTAATTAATATTTTTACATTAAACCTAAGGGTATAATCATGTATTTTATTCAAAGCAATTCTACTGAGAATGACTAATTTTCTCAGTGCTTTGATAATTACTTCTGCAAACTTGTGACAATGCACAAAGGGAAAAGTCATGGCTTTCTCCCAAGCTTCCCTCTATGAACACCATTACATCAGTGAAGTCCCTCTTGGTCTTTCCAGGGACGGGCTTCATAAGGTAGTAGAGAAATATACTAGAGTTAGTAAAAAAATAAAAATAAATAAAATTGGAGGTGAAAAGCCTTTATACTACCGCCTATAATGAAATATGTATGACACTATAAAGTTAATTTTTAAAAAATTGACAAACCCAGCCTCAGAAGATTTAAAAACACAGCATTTTTTCTCCCTTCCTAATAACCCCCTTCTCACCATAGTTGTACCTCACAAAAATTCATTACGTGATATCACTGGTCATTTCTGCAAACAATTCTAGTAATATCAGGCACCAACTGTAAAACTACTAAAAAAATAAAGTAACAATACAACCAATAGAGCTGAATATAATTATCTAAAAACCAAACATTTATGTCAGTTTGGAAGCTACTTGATCACAAAACCTGAAAGAAAGGTCAAGTGGTTCGTTCTCATCCACCATCACACTCTACACGCATCACCGAGGAAGCCCCAACTGGATAAATTCCTTTAGGTGAAGTCCGTGAACACTTCCCATATACTGCTTGTACAAAATGACACATCCATGCTGAGTTATTTACCATTGCGTAGCAATAATCTTCAGTGGACCAGGGTTTTATTTGCAGGTTATTCCTAGAGGATTTATGTAGCATGATTTTAAAATCCTGGTTGGAAGCATAAACATAAGTTGTGTGCCTATAGTCTGAACAGAAGACTGCAGTTTGTGAAGCGATGTTTGGAGCATCAGAAGAGAGGAAAGTAGAGAGGAGAGCGTCCAGTTTAGAAATGCTGAGGCACAAAACACAGGTGCTTGCAGTACTTTCATACATGAAATCCCTTCTCCTGTATGTGCATCATGTGTAAACGTAAAGTCTGTATACTGCTGACTATGCGTCTCTGGTGTCCAATGAGTATGACTCCAATTCTTCTAATGTCACTGAGAGATCGAGAGAGTGAGAGAGGGAGAGAGAGAAAGAAAGAGAAAGAGAAAGAGAATATGAACATTTAGATCTGATAAGCATGTGAGATAAAATGAATATTTAGAGGCATTAAATAAGCACCCTGCCACAGTTGCCAAAAATGGTGTAGCTTACTTGTTAAGCAGAGATCTAAATGAGCAGCAGAAGTTTATTACTTTTTTTCCTTTTCTCTGGATCCACAGAATGCATAATCTCATATGTAACAATCTATGTTTTTCCATTTCATACACAGGTACTTATGTAATAATTCAGTTATTTCATAGGCCTACACCTATATAATTTAGGTCATGATAGACATTTGCAACAATATAACAAAACGGTGAGTATGTACAATGGAAGGTATAATGTGAACTCCATTTGATTTCTCGTGGATTTTTGACAAGCTGGGAAAAATGCCCTTATGTTGTACTATATGTAATTGCCATTAGTGTCTTAAAATAATGGCAGTTTAATATGGTTCAACCTAACCATTTAGTCTTTTAAGCACACATCAAGCATTTTCATTGTACGTAGGCAAAGGACAATCTTGGAGACGGTAGAAATGGTTGATCATTATAATATCTAGAAGGAGCTCTGAAAATGACATAATATTGCATTAATTTGATGAAATAGAAATTGATTATGCAATATTAGATATATGTGAATAATTTGCCAAGGTAAAATTAACATAAAGCCTATGAATTGGATGACAGTAATATGCATTTTAGAAAACATTTAAAATATTTTAAATAGCTATTTGAATTAAATATATTCTTTCAAAGAATAATAGTTAAAAGTGTAGTGTCCAACTTCCACTAGAATGACAGTCAGAAATGTGAGGAAAAGACTTGGAAATTACCTCCTAGCCTAAAGAAAGGTGTTTTAATACAGCATTTGAACTTATAATCCCCAGCAGGGCATCTATTTACCGTAATAACCCTAGTATCACTTACTCAATGCTCATTCTTGAAATCAGGTCAAAAGTTGTAAATCCTGCTGCCATGAAGTTATTCTTGTATTGCCCCATCTTTATAGAATCTAGCCAGTCACCAACCGTGACAAACAAAGGATATTCGGTAACTTCACCAGGGGACTCTGGCATTCTGTAAGAAATCAAAACAAAAAACAAAACAGAACAAAACATGGAGAGCATTTAAAGGCCAAATAAAACAGGAATCATGGAATTTTCCTTTTCCTTTTACATATTCTTACATTTTTTTTTTTTTTTTTTTTTTTTTTTTGAGAGGGAGTTTCGCTCTTGTTACCCAGGCTGGGGTGCAATGGCGCGATCTCGGCTCACGGCAACCTCTGCCTCCTGGGTTCAGGCAATTCTCCTGCCTCAGCCTCCTGAGTAGCTGGGATTACAGGCACGCGCCACCACGCCCAGCTAGTTTTTCGTATTTTTAGTAGAGACGGGGTTTCACCATGTTGACCAGGATGGTCTCGATCTCTCGACCTCGTGATCCACCCGCCTCGGCCTCCCGAAGTGCTGGGATGACAGGCTTGAGCCACCGCACCCGGCCATATTCTTACATCTAATGTTTTTATTCTCCATTTAAAAGTCTCTGATTTTCTATCTTATTCAAATGAGTCACTTTAAAAAATTATTTATCAAATCAGGCACTTACGTGATGGAACACTTTTGTCTTTTTGTGCTTTTTGCTAGTACTGGGCCTTATACTGATCTTTTTTTTTTCTTTTTAATTTGTATTTGATGGATCTTGAGAGAACTCAACATCTTGCCAGCTCCCTTCTTATTATTAACATTTTTTCTCTTGTATTAAATTGTGTTTTGAAACTTAAGGATTAGCTGATTCCCTATCCCCACAAGGAGGGTAACTAGCCACAGGATGTTCACTCTTCCCCTTTCTGACCTACCCCTGAATCCATGTCCTTTTCTACATTTGCTGTGATTATTATTCTCCTTCTGGTGAATTCATTGATCAAACTTCCATTTATTTGTTCTCAAACATTCAATAATAATTTAGCTTTTGTTAAAATGTAATTTTTGCTGTCATAGAGTTCATTGCACGAATAAGATTTACACACATACAAACAGAGGGTAATGTCCCCAAAACACAGATACTAATAAGGCACAAAACAACGCAAAATCAAAGTTAGGTTGGATTAGCAAAAAATGGATCTTAAAGGCATAGTAGAGCAATTTTTATTTTTGTCTCTCAAATCTTATGCAAAGGGCAGTATAAAGGTATTACTTTGGAAAAGCTAGGGTATACATGTGCTTATATATACATACATACATGCATTTATATGCAATATGTATGAAATAGTTATATATAGTAGCTTAAGTTAGAGAGAATAAAAACAGAATAAATCTTAGAAATTATGGTAGAAGTAACTCAGAATTGTGTATGTAAGCCATTCTGACAATATATTATATTTGTTTCTTTACATAATTACATAAAAATACACATTAATTTTGCCTGTTTAAAAAAACTTGGCAGTAAAAGTGCTTTTATAGTAATGAATGTGTTACTAAACTCTAGGGAAATAAACACATCATTTAAAGAATTCTTAGATCTGTAATTTATATTAACCAGTAAAGCAGTAACAACCTTTAAGAAAAGTTTAGTGTTTGAGTTAATTCAATATATTCTAAGTAATGAAAAACTTTCTTATTAGAAGTGAATCATTTAGTTATTTTTATTAGGCTATTGAAGTTAGTCCAACTTTCATTTACTTTGTTTTTTAAAGTTGTATAAAGTTAAAGAATGACGGAGGCAATTAGAACCATAGATTTGAATGTTCATATTTGGACTGTTTTATCAAAATGTTTTTACCATTCACATTTGAATTACTTAAGCTTTAACTAGCAATTGATAAGCGTTGGGCACAGATGATTAAGCCATGTGAAAGTAACGATTTCCCCACTGTGAAGCAGAAAGGCGTATACATGCTATATAACCCTGGTATGGTTCTACTAATAACATGGGAATTGGGTCCTAAGGTTAATACTGAAGGTAAAAACTGAAATTTCTTAACCATTAAAATTACCCTTAAAAATCCTTTAAATCACCCCAAAGTCACCAGCACCCTAGTGTTTTAGGAGCACAAGTTGTACATGGTATAACTCCCGAAGATTCTGAAGGGTGCCCCTTGGAATTCAGCACAAAGTCCCTAAGTAAAGGCCTAGAATTCATTTATTTGGTTTTCCTTTTATTACCACATTGATCACCTTTTTCTAAACTGAGGTCTAGCTGAAGGTGGTGATGCGATGAACAGAGATGACAGGGTGGGGTTGTACTCTTTACATACGATTGCAATGAACATAAATGCATATACCTTGTGATTGATTACACAATACTCCATATTGGGTCTAGTTATCCTTAACAAGTGACTTCTCTCCTTTTAAACACTACTCAATTCGATTACATTTCCTATTTGGAGGCTGTTAAGCCGCATTCTTTTCTCCTGTACTACAGATTCCAGTGCTATTTGATTGTGGGCTGTTTCATTCTAATTAACATCAAAATGATTCATGAGTTTACCTAAAACAAAGATCGGTCATGTTCAAAGATTGAGCATTTATCATAGCATCTGCCAACAACTACTTGAATTGTTGCTGTATTTATTCAGTTTCCTAGAGGTGTTTATGTTAATGAATATTGTCAAATAAAAATTCACATGTAATATACAAAATAATAAAGGACTCCATGGCAGACTGAAGCAAATCTTTAAGTTTTAGCGTTTTTCAGAGTCTTCACTGCTCTAATGTGCACTGTAAATATCTAAGAGAATTCCGAATAGTTTCTACATTATTTTTCTAAATTATTTGACCAGTTTCATGGAATATACCATACTTCACTGACCAAGGATAAATATAAAAATGACCAGAATATCCTTGTTGCTTATTAACATAAATAAACCTGCACATGTTAGAAAACTGAATGTCCTATTTCAAAACAACACGACTCTCATACCTTTTAAATGCTTGTCAAAGTAGTTTGTTGAAACTGAACAAAATTAAAAGAATGTATTAAAGTGACTTTTCCTTCATACTCCTATGCCATTCTTGATGTACTGACAGAGTCAGATGGCTTCTACTTTTCTCTCCTGAGATGACACTGGAATAACTCTTGAAATTTCACAATTTCATATAATTGGTGAGTAGAAATGTAACTTGCTAATTTTATGTCCTTAGTACAGAAAAGTCATGAAAGGACACTTTGTATATTAAATGACTTAAATGGCCTAGCTCCCTTGTTGAAAAGCATCTACTATTTGCTTCCAGAATGTTTCAATACCATAATTCCCTTTCTCTCCACAGATCTTCAGTGACCTAGTTACTCTTTGGCCTTTATACGACTGCCTTGGCAGTTGATTTAGTAAGGTCAAGGTTTCCTCATTGTTCACGGCCACTGTGCAATAACTTTTCTTTCATCTTATCTTCTAAGGAAGTTGAAAGATGTTGCTATTTTCTGGCTTCGAAGGCTTCTGGTACCATTATCCTTACACGAATTCTCTGGAATATTGCTTAATAAACAATAAATGCCCTTTCTTATCAAACATGTACAGTGATAAATTTAGTTTGCTATGTGCTGAGCATGTAGAAATTTGTGCTATTTGGTGATTAGTGAATACTGCCCACCTGAGAAATATTACAGCAAGACCTGCAGCTCACATTTTAAATGCATCTTATATAATAAAAGGTCAAGGATCAACTTTTTCTCAGAGAAATGAGAATGGGCTAGAATTGGAAAATTTCATGTATAATTACGGTCAATTTAGATTATAGAAAGGGCAGGAGTTTAGGTATTATAAGTAATGTTACAGTTTAAGGTGTAATAAATATACAATTCCAATACAATAAAATATGTTAAAAATGAATAGCTCTGATAGGAGTCCAGAAGTTTTTATTCTAATGAGCCCTTTGAGTTCACAATCATACTAACCTTTTAATTTAGAAGTTTCTTAGCTAAGTCATCAATATACTATCAATACTATCATTAAAAAGTGAGAAGTGTTTTATTCTCAAAAGTTTTCCATGTTTTCATCATGTAAATATAAAATAGTAATAGACATACTAAAATGATTCAAGAAAAGTTCTATTTTGAGAAATACTATTGCAATCTAAGATTCTGTTTTAAAATGACATTCTCATATGCTTAAAAGCTTTTCTTCTCTTACTGCTTTAATACAACTTCTTCTTTCCTAGGTCATTCATGTATATATGATTAGCAGAAATGTACAGATAGGGTCCATTTTATTTTATATTGCCTTTGTTTCACATATTCATGAATGTATGCCTTGTTTCAACAGTCTTCATACTCAAATGGGTGTATAATATTCTATATGTGGATGCCTAATAACTTGCCAATTCTCTAAAGTTAAACTCTTAGATTGCTAACAACATGCTTTTAGTAGACATGAGTATGTAGTCTTAGAGCATGTTTCTTTTTGTGTCAGTTGAATAACTTCTTTGGGAAAAATTCGTAAGACAGAAGAATGTTTTTTAAAGAATAAGTGAAAACTCCCTGATGGCAGGAACACATCTTTCTTTATGTAGGCACTCACATAACAGGAATTCATTAAACACAGAAATTCATTAAACACGTGATGACTCAGACTTGAATATTAAATTCTCTACAGAAAAGTTTGGTCCATAAGATGATGGCTGATTCATGATGAATAATTTCATTTAATTCCAATAAATAAAAAACCTAGAAGAGGAGTAAGTACCTGTTGATATAGTGGTCAACTTATTAAATAATATGCTGTTTATTTAAATTCTTCCTTGTATTGTGAAAATGTTTGTTTATTCTGTCTTTATAGGTTTCAGGTTGTAGAAAGAGGCAGTGTTAGGTGGAGTTGGGTAGCCTGGGGTTAAGGTTTCACCTGCAATTATAACCAGACTTAGAGCCACAACAGCACACTGACTTCGTTCAGGATGGCTGCTTTTACATGGGTTCCTCATTGCGTGACTCAGGGACTACACTTCATACTACTTACCTAATCCAAGAAATAATTTTGTAATGCATACACTATCTACATACCCTTTGAAGAAAGAGTTTACTTAATCATATATATTTTTAAAAGTCCTCTCAACAATTAAGCGTAACATTCAATTTGAAAACATTAAAGT